TAGTTTCTTGCAAGTCCCTAGCTTTGCGTTATTTGCAGTCCGCTTCAGCAGTTTTCTCTGGCCGAAACAATGTAAGTGTATTTCACAGTCCTCGTTTTGCAGTTTTGTTATTTCTTTACTCTAATTTACCTTAGTCGCAACTTGTAACTTTTTTACTCTTTTACCGTTTTAGTTTCAACCCATGTCGTTTATATGCGCACTCAATAAATCTTCATTTGAATTTGGTTTGTGGCGTTGTCATTAAAGGCCAAGAGACTTATTCCAGTTTTATCGTTGAAAATTGTTGGTGACATGTCGTTTCGTCATGAGCTTTAGCCGCAAGCAGCTTACAGATCCCGTCGCCCGGCGAGTTGGAACACGCGTACGACAACCAAACCGTTCGCTGGATTTTGAAGCGTCTAACCTGGAAACACTTTGTTTAAAGAAAAATTCAAGGTCTGGTCACCTATCTACCGTAACCGCCATTTCCAATGAAATTTCTGGTTTGCTTACTGGTGATCATAATCTTCAGGAGGTTAAAGAGAAGCTTCCTTACTTCGACAACCCCTTTGAAAGATTTAAAGAGGCCCATCGCGATTACGTCGAAGAAATTCTGGATGAGAACGCCATCATTGAGGGTCAACGCTATCTTGAAGACAAAGAGAGAAAGGTTCGTGTGTTCCGTCAGGAGATCGTCGATTGGATAATTAATATTGAACACAAGTTATTAGCAGAATCGCTTCAAGTAGATTCGGCAGTGAATCCCGAGGATTCAATTAGTTGTGCTGGCACACAAATTCCTTCAGGTGCTTCCAAGGTTTCAAAACATTCAAGTCGAGCAAGTTCACGTGGTGTTCGTGCTTCATCACTTGCAGCCGCGAGAGCCAAAGAAGCCGCAAGAATTGCCGAGTTAAAAGCTGAAATTTCTATGCTCGAAAAGCGCCAAACACTTGAAGAGAAAAAGTTTCGTTTACAGCAGGAAGAATTACGCCTTAACCTCGAAGCCGAAATGGTCAAGACAACAGCTAAGGAGAGGGTCTACGCAGCAATGACCTCCCCTTCTCTACCGGAGGTGAAGCCTTTAAAATTGGAGAAAGAGCTCCAGGATCAGAATCCCCCTCGTACCAGCCCCCGTGCGAAAAGGTCTTTTCCAGGCGAGGTGCATCACCCAGGCCAGGGCGTGTCCATCGATTCTGTTCCTTACGGCCAGTTTGATTATCAAGCGTGTACAGTCGGCGAGGATCTGAGAAAGGAAACGATTGGTTTGCAGTGGCAACAGACTGCTCTTCAGTCTCAGCAGAATAGAATAATGGAATTGCTAGCGCATAATCAGAATAGGAACAAACTTCCGCAGCCCCGTGTTCCTGTGTTTGACGGAAACCCTATTGAGTACCGCACCTTCGTTCGCGCTTTTGAAAATTTGGTTGAATCCAGAACATTTAGCAGTACTGATAGACTCTATTACCTTAAGCAGTTCATCGCAGGGGACGTTAAGGAACTTGTAAGATCCTGTCATCATTTACCAGCGGAAGAAGGTTACGACGAGGCTCGTAGGCTTTTGAGAAGGAAGTATGGTGACGATTATGGCATAGCATCCGCTTACGAGACGAAGGCCCTGGACTGGCCGAGCATAAAGGCAGAAGATGGTGTGGCTTTGAATTGTTTTTCAGTCTTTCTTGCAAGTTGCAAGAACGCATTGGCAGGTAGCCAGTGCATTTCTAAGTTTGATCAGCCAGCAAACATTCAAAAGTTGGTGCTCAAGATTCCTTACAGCATGAGAGAAAGATGGCGTCGCTTAGCTGATGACATCATGGACAGACAGTTAAGGCCAGTACAGTTCAGTGACTTCGTTGCCTTTGTTGATCGCGAAGCAAGAATACTAACCAACCCAGTCTTTGGCAAGATATCCGATACCGTAAGATCGGCGCCTGGTCAGCGGTCCTCTGGTGGCAAGACATCCAATCCCAAGAATCTCAGTCTCTTAGCACATGTAGGCGATAGTGAAGGACATACCAGTGAAACGGTTCCGCAGGGTGTAAAGGAGCCAAGTCAACGCGCCGATGGAGAGCAGAGACCTCAGACTCGTAAGCTTCAGCCATCTGGAATCGATCAGGGTCCCTCACAAGGGAGAAATCGGTGTCTCTATTGTAGCAGAAACCACGCCCTTGAGGATTGTCAGTCATTGCGGTGGAAACCCTACCAAAAGAGAATTCAATTCCTGTTGTCCAAAAAGCTGTGCTTTGGATGTTTATCCATCGAACACGTCGCAAAGTTTTGCCCGCAGAGGAAAAATTGCAAGATTGCGAACTGTAAAGGTCGGCATCCTACTGTTTTACATACAAACCCTCGTGAGAGACCAGCTGTCGACGTTGGAGTGGGCACGGAAGACGTAATCAGCACTCAAGTTTGTAGTCCCATGGTAAAAACGGGCACCAGTGCCAACAGTGAGACTTCAGGAGAGGGTCGAGGACAGGCATGGCCGTAATACCAGTCAGAGTAAGAGCGAAAGATAGTGATAAGAGCGTCATCACCTACGCCTTCTTGGATAACGGTAGCAACTCCAGTTTCTGTACTGAATCGCTCATGAAGCAGCTCGGGATTAATGGTCAGCAAGTTAAGATATCCCTGTCTACTCTTGAGAAGAAAAACAGCATCACCAACAGCTTCCTGGTTCGCGACCTTCTTGTATCCGATTTGGATGAGAACGAGTGGATTAGCCTCCGGACCCTTTACACCAGGCCGGAGATTCCTGTGTCCAGCAGCGACATTCCAACTCAGTACGACGTTGATCAGTGGCCCCACTTGCAAGGAGTTTTTCTGCCTCGTCTCAACGCTGAGGTTGGCCTTTTGATTGCTAGTGACGTTCCCAGGGCTCTCGATCCACTTGATGTCAAACACAGTGAAGACGGTGGTCCTTATGCTTCAAGAACTCGAATCGGCTGGGCGGCAAATGGTCCCTTAGGCCGTCGTCACCATAGTTCATGGTCATCCACTTTTGTTGCTTAAGTCGATCACCGGCTCCAACAGATGATAGAAGACTTCTACAATCGCGATTTTA